AAAGCACAAGTTTAACTCAAAAACATAACCAAATCATAAGTTAGAAGGATACAAAATGACATGTAATTATGCACCGATCAGGGCTCTTCCTCTTCCTTCGTTTCCCTTTTGCGAGCATGTGTGCCTTAGGTCTTCTCCAGCATCGGATGTGTCGGGTTATTTGGCAAAAAATGGGTAAAAATATGTAAAACAATCTTAGCCAAATTAACTCATTAAAATAGATGCTAACGGTTGAGCGCCTCATCTCTCAAATAACACTATTTCAGGGATCCTCAACTGAAGGGGACTATATATATATATATATTACAATAGTGAGATGTAAAATATCAATCAAGGGGCACTTTGACTTAGTAGAGCAATTAAGTTGCAAGAAAAAAAAGGCTCATTCATGTGATATCAACATTTTTAAATGGATTTTTTTTTTACATACTTAAGAATTAGGGACAAAGTGAGACCCAAAACGTCGGTTAATGGGGTAAAAAGTGGGTCACTTGCTAAACATCAGTCAATTCAGTAAAGAAGGTCACTTTGGGTTTTCAAGAGGCAATGTGTGAGATTTCACCATAGGAGCCATTAGAGCACCTAAGCTTATAGTTTATGTATGAACTTTTTTTTATAAATAATAAAAAATACATCATTTTTTCTAAGAAAGAAAAGTGAGTAGGAACTTAAACACAAGACATCCAGTGAATATATGAGGTCAAGGTACAAATCTAATTAGTTAAACTTAAAATGGACAAAGAAGAAAAAAAAAACCTAGCCGACCAAGAGGGAGAGAGAGAGAACTTCATATACATGGGGTTTCCTTGGATCCCATCGGATCTTCAATGTTCTATACCGATTTGATCTTCTTTTGGAAAATTTATTGTGTTTGCCCCAAATCTGAGTTGACTTTGGTTGTGCCTCATCTTGAGGGGCTGCTCTTTTGAGGTGTTCCTGCTTGGTCATGGTAAATCTATTGTTCATTGACGCGTTGGGGTTATGGAGTTACTAAGTTGCACTCTTTATGTCATGTCTCGAAAGAAGATTAGTGGCCCTTTTTTTGTCAAGATTGTTTTATAAAGTCCAGAAACTCTATGAGTTGTATGTATTGTTTTTCCCTCATAATTCAAGAAACTTAGTTGACTTTTTTGGGTGTTCGGAAAGAATGTACAATCCCACATCGAAAACTTGGCCAACATATAATGGGTGGTTCCACTACTAATAGCATCAAAGCCTTTTGTATCAAACACCACACATGTTGTATATGTAAGTGGTTAAGTTGGGGACAATATCAGTATCGCTAATAATAGGTCGTTGGTTCGTCTCTCTCAAATTTAACAGGGTATTAGAGGGGGCTAATTGATTGGGCCTAAATTACTAGGCGTTTACCCAATATGTGGTATTCACTTTTTAGGCTTGAATATTTACCCCTACCCTTTACCCAATAGGTGGTGTTCAAGTGTTGGCCTTGAATGATTAAATGTAGGTTTTCCAGGAGTTTAAGTACGAAGTTGTAAATATCTTACAAAATGGGTATGAACTTGAAAATGACCCCGTAATTTAGGGAATCTTTTGTAATTTGTCCTATTTTCATTAGGTTTATTTTTATGTAGTGTACAATTTTCACCTATGTAAGTGGTATGAAATTCACGATACATATTGTGAAGCTAATATAATGGCATATGTTCTTCCAACTTTATGACACATACACAACCTTGTGTCTGGTTTTCTAACTTTTCGTCCTTTATTGTTGTAAAAATGGTTTTGATTTCTGAAATATTGGGATCCCAAGGGGATTTGGTTTGCAATTATTTTTTAATTATAAAAATCATTAAATTACTAAATATTATAATTTAGTACATTTTATTTTTTACACAAGAGAGTGGGATTCGAACCTAGGACTTAGGTACAGAGATAATTTCTCGTAACCACTTGATCATCAAGTATGGGTAGACATCAATCTAGCCGAACTGACTAAACCAACCGATCCAAAACGGTAAAAAAACGTCAAACAGTTTAAAAATCGAACCGAACCATTTATGGTTGAGTTTGATTCGGTTTTCAACCTCTGTAAACCGATCTAAACTGAACTGGACCATCTACTTGTATATTTATTTACTTATATTTTATTTTACATGTGTATTCCTCTACTTAGATAATAACTAGATATGAATGTTGAATTAGAAGTTTGGTGGTCCTTTGGAGTTATATTAGTTACTGAAATTTGAAGTTTTATGGGAAGTTGAAATTTAGGATGGTTTGATACACTTGAAAATGAAAAAAGTATGTAGCAAGTTGTGAAGTTTTTAGTGGTCATTCATTGGGCTAACAATGTTATAAAAAAAAAATGCAAAAGGAAAGAGAATTGGGCTTATGCCCAAACCGACTAAACCAAATCAAATTAAATCGAACCAATCTATCTTAAATTGGTTGGTTTGGTTCGGTTTCTTGTGTGATTATTTTAAAAAATGAACCGAACCAAACCATTATGTTTTACTTGATTCGGCCACAATTTTGAGGTGAAACCGATCCAATCCATACCATGCCCACCCCTAACTACAAGCCCCTTGCATTTAGTCCATCTTTTTTAGTTTCTTTTTACAGGATTGAAACTTCTAAAAAAATATAAATGGGGTGAGAAGAAATCATAATTCAAATTATATGGTTTTTATTTATTTATATAAATGATAATTTAAATTAATGGAGAGGGGGTGGGATTCGAACTTGGGTGTAAAAAGGCAAACTCGCTGTCCTATTTAACTAGCCGAACCCACATTTGCTCAAATAATATGATTTAGTAACCAAACGTTTTTCACCAAACATAGCTTCCTTTTTTTTTCTTTTTTTCTAATTCCTTTTGGCTTTTGTCTACTATATTTTAAAATGATTATTTTAGTAACCAAATGAATTTTATTATTTTTTACGAAATATAATTGGCTTTTTTTCTTTCTGTTTTCTTTTGGCTTATTTGAAGGCAAAAGATATTTCATTAATCAAAGGACCAAACCAATGCAAGAGAAAAAAATTATTTTGTTTCTCTTTAGCGTCTTTGTACTTTTTTTTTCAGTTGATTTTTAATACATTTTTTATTATAAAACAAAAAATTAAAATTAAATGGACAAAAGAATTAGATATTATCATTATGGGCTAAAGTCAACCAAGTAACTTTAGGCCATCTCTAATGTGTCGGACGAAAAGTCAAAAATTGGGTTTTGAACCCGAAAAACTTCGCCAACGTATGTATAAAAGTGGGTGACAATTTAGGTTGGGTGGAATTTCAGGCGGATTAGCAATCTAGATTAGAGTCGGACTGATAATGGTGCAGACCAATCTTGGTTGTTGTGGAGCCCACGTGCAAGGTCATGACTCATAACTGATTGATTTGAATGGTTTAATAATTTTTTAATTTTTAATTCACTTGAGATTAGAATTTGTAGGCTGCGTGTAAGGCAATGATATTATGGTTGTGGGAATCCAATGGCCACAATTTGAGTATGTTTTTCTTTTTAATATGAGCTTCATCTCATTTTCTGCTAATTGTTTGTAATACCTTACTGCAATATAAATTTTTGAGTTTGTATATAACCAAAATTGCTCGGCATTTTACACATTGAACATTTTTCTTAACATGACTCTCAACATACGTCCATTCTTTTTGGCTTGTTTCCCTTCAGCCTTCCCATCGAATTTGTTTGCCCTGCCATTTCTAATGGCCAATGGTCGGCCCCAACCAAAGTTGTTCTCATACATGACTTTAGTTTGCGAATGGCTGATGGTTTGTTGAGATATCGAGTTTTCCTCTTCAAACCATTATCTATTCGCAAACTCGCCAATGCAATGTGGGACGTTGTTGTTTATTGGCAAAGCGACTGGAAAAATCCACATTGGATATAATCGCAGCGTACGGAGTGCTTGAGGGATTTTGGAATGGAGTTTACAGTGTGTTTGAATGAGGGACTTAGAGATGGGATTTGGGGAATGTGGAACTTGAAAGTTCCATATGAAAGAGGATTTCAGAAATTCTGTGCAACTTGAAAGAGGAACTTTGGGAGGCTAAAGTCCAGTGAGTAGGTAACACCTCAATAGGCGCTATTTCACAAAGTCCTTATTTATGCGAATGAGATTTCTGTAATGCAAAGATGAAAAAGAAGAGAAGGAAAAATAACAGACGAAAGAATTAAAAATTTAAAATTAAAAAAAAAAGGAAGAAGAAGAAGAAGACGAAAATTTTGGTGGAAGGTTTTGGATACTTGGTGGGGGGTTTATATAAGATTGAGGACTCTTACACCATGATAATCCCTCGGGGTATATACAAGTCAGCATGCTGCAGCAACTGATGAGCCAATAAGAACCAATCCTGGTGGTTCCGCTGCAATATTAATGCTGGCAGTGGCAGGTAGACCACACTGTATGCATTCATGGTGCGACCGAAAACCATTCATGGTGCATGCGTGTTCTATAATTCTATTCAGTTCTTCTTTCAGCTTCCTCCATCAAGGATTGCAGTGATGGATAGAAGAACACTTGTGTTTTTCAAATATCCACACAACCAATTACAACCGAAAAATTTCAAATATCCACTCCCCACTACCAATGATGATAACAGAAACAGAAAGCTTAGATTGGATGGTGTATAAGTTTTGCATGTCTTGAAAGCAACAAAATTGGAAGCTTCGTGTAACCCAGCAAAGCAATTACATATTAATGCTGGTTGCAATAGCAGTAGCAGTAGGTGAGTCATGCAAAGAGTGAAGAAAAGAAAACCAAAGAGCAACTGGACGTGGGTTGGGTTTAGGGAAAGGGGGAAAGAGCAAGGCAGGGGTGGTTTAGAAAATAGTAGAATTCTTAAAGAGTTGTTTTTTTGGGTTGTGTCCGCGTGGTGGATGTGTGGCTTCCGCGTCAGTATGAAAATAGGGTCTTACGCTTGCCACATCACCAATTTAACAGAAAATAAAACATCACCAGACGATACCTAAATCTCGTTCTTGTTAAATGGCTTGTTCAAACACACCATAAGCGGAACCAAAAAAGAAATCAATAGCTTTGTCTCTTAATCATGATTTACAGGACCATAAACTTTAGTCATTGCCTCTTTTTCCCCCCCTCGTATCTTGATCTGAATATAGGAATCCATTAACAGGAGCACCAGAGTGCCCCCCTCTCGTATCTTGATCTGAATATAGGAATCCATTAACAGGAGCACTAGAGTGCTCAGCCCAAGCAACCAATACACTACCAGCAGGTTACATTGTTAGAACTACCCAAATTGCCTAATTTCATAGTTGTAAAACGAACATTTAAAGACTTTCGAAACTGCGACTGAATTCCGTCACTCTGATTTTGCAACATATGATTCAAGTTTGTGCAGCCAGTCCACATATTGAGCTTGCTCCTTTTTGTGAAGGTGGTGGAGGAGGAAGTTGGTCAGGCTTTCTCCAATACCCTTGGATACTAGATATTTCTTAAGCTCGTTCCCCCCCTCGTATCTTGATCTGAATATAGGAATCCATTAACAGGAGCACCAGAGTGCTCAGCCCAAGCAACCAATACACCACCAGCAGGTTACATTGTTAGAACTACCCAAATTGCCTAATTTCATAGTTGTCAAACGAACATTTAAAGACTTTCGAAACTGCGACTGAATTCTGTCACTCTGATTTTGCAACATATGATTCAAGTTTGTGCAGCCAGTCCACATATTGAGCTTGCTCCTTTTTGTGAAGGTGGTGGAGGAGGAAGTTGGTCAGGCTTTCTCCAATACCCTTGGATACTAGATATTTCTTAAGCTCAACTTGTAATTCGTTGTCCAATTTGCTGTCAAAGATACAGACAAAAAACAAGAAAGAGAAGAATAAGAAAATAAATCTAGGAATAAAAAAAAAAGAAGAGAAAGTTTCACCATTCAAAGACAAAGCAAACATACAGTTAGGCAAATAAACACAGTATTTATATGCAACAATAATAGGATGGATGACATTCAGAAAGCATCTGAAGTAGGGTAATCCCACAAAAGAAATTATAAAATTAAGCATGGAAAAGATAGTCCAGATTAAGTAGAAAGCAGAGCAATGCAAGATGAATAAGCAAGCCAAAATAGGTTGGTTTTCAGGTACAATCTGAAATAAAGAAACAGCACTTCATTCAGATATAAAGAAGTGTACAATCTGATATTACAACAATTTGGAGATGCTAAGTTGTCTGCTGACAACCAAAGCTAAGCAGTTAGCAAGACAATTGAAGGAAGAAACTGATACACACACAGATGACCAAAATCGAACTCTATCACACAAATCTCCCTCCCTCTCCCCTAATGATGTCCAAAATTCTTCTATTTCGTTCTACTCTTACCATCCAATACACAGCCATCACACCACTCCCTAACACCACACCATTTTCCCCTCCGCCAAAGCCTTGGGGTGCTGCTGCTGGTTCTCAACTCCACCGTAAAAGAAGTTCGACAACATTGAAAGTAGGGCTGACATTATGTCATCTGGTTGAAATACCCCAAGCATTTCAGCTAATCCTCTTTTATATTTGGCTAATCCACTTTATATTTAGCATGACCAATCTTCCTAGAGTCTAGCTTATGATAAACTAACTTTGCAAATCACTTTCCTTACATGCACCAAAACTTATTAACTTTTGGTAAATTCCTTGAAGAGGCATTGCTGGTTTGCATTCACTCTGTACTCAGGAGCATGATCTCATCATAAATAGGCCTTACACGATCAGCATAGGCAGCTCCATCTTCACTAACTCTTGAATACAGCATATTGCAGCTTCTCTACACGAGCAACCTCAAAAGGAGTCCTCTTAGCAGTGATACTGCCTTTCGAAGTTCAAGAACGAAGTCTATGCTAAGATGAAGCCAAGGTGTGGGACTGGAGTGTACAACCCGTATTTTGTAAGGACATGCTACTACACACAGCATCTCTTCACCAAGCTTCCCAATTCTCAGTTCTTTGGCCAATAATATCGATCCATCACTAGCCAAAGTCTTAACAACTAACTCTCTAATAATTTTTTCTTTCAAATAACTCTCTAGCATGCAAAGTTGGTTACTATTGAATAAGAAACCATCAAGCAAAATTCAAGAAAAAATTCAGAAAGAGAAAAAAGACTAATTAATGTAATTGTGGGGACTTCTCACAGTACCATAACAGCATATTCAATTAGGTTTTTATGCCTTCTGGTGCAGTCTAGCTACAAAGGATGCCCTATCAAACACATAGGTGAAAATGTTCTAGTAGTCTCAGGAAAGTACCCCCAAAAGATTTAGTGCAGCAACAATCAGATTCACTTTGCTCGTTCAATAATCCACTAAGTATATGGTTCTGATTTCAGCTTTCCTCCATAGTCATATTCCCAATAACAGCAAAAGTTCATATTTCTAATTTGTTAGAACACAATTGAAGGTTTCATATAGATAAGATCAATTTCATTCCTTTGGGATAATTCTAAAATACATTAACTCGTTTTGAAGGAAAAAGAAAAAAAATCTAAACAACATAACCTGCTCATGGAATAAAGAAGAGAGGGGAGAGACTCTAAGTCTAGAATCTAAGGCCCAAGGTATAAATTCATCATGGTTATTCAAAATTTACTCCGCTTAAGAAAACTCAGTTCCAAAAAAAATGGCTCAGTTCCTGAATGGCTTTCTTGAGCATAACGTTGCAAAGCACAAGTTCCGACTGAAACAATGAAAGAACCACCCCTTCAGATATTACAGTGCTTTTGCTGTTTCTGCCAACCTTATGTTTCATTTTGTTTTTGTCCTGTTTATGTTCTATAGAAAGAAAGTGAAAATAATTGACAACAAGCAAACGTTCCTTTTCAACCAAAGTCCCAAAGGTAATGATCATAACAGAAACAGAAAGCTTATCTTCAGATGATGTATAAGTTGATATAAAGTAAATACATATCTGAATCTGACTAACCTGAATGGGGGCCTATAGACTGAAGGGCCAAGACCAACAGATGGTTGAAAACAATAGGCATTATGGATTTTAAACCCAGACCCAATACCATCTTTCTCATAAACACTGCAATCAAACTGCAGCATTGAGCTCAAACCAGGCTTCTTCAAACACACCTTCATCAAAACATCCCTTGGGTAAAGACATTCCACTCCCTCCAAGCCATCAGGACAAAAAGGACCCAACAAAGCTGAAACAGCAACCTCCTCACCACTCTCATACTTTCTCCTCAAAACCAAATCTTGGGACTGTGGCAAATCGCACTCCACCACAAACTCACCCATTGAAGAGCTTCGGCTTACCTGTATCATCAATAACTTAACCAATATTCGTCTACCCACAAGCTAATTTCTCAAAACACAACAGAAACAAAAACCAGAGAGAGAGAGAGAGAGAGAGAGAGAGAACCTCAGGGGGGTTACAGGAAAGCCCATGTTGAATCTCAGACTGCAAAACCTTGAGCAAGTTGAGATCTTTGAGAGCTTTGCCACCCTGGCGCAATGCAGCGTTCGCCTTCGACATTCTATATGGCAGTGGCGTCTCACAGTCTCAGCTCAGAGGAATATAACAAGAATGCAACATCAAAATCTGTTCGCAATAGACTTGTGGGAATTCTTGGAAACCTTGCTTGGTCTTTTTGGGCTTTTGCTCTCCTGGACCAGAGACTAGGCCTGTAAAATGGGCCGGGCCGGGCCAGCCCGGCCCTAAGAAGTGTGAGCCCAAGCCCTATCTTTCACGGGCTTTTTTGGCCCTAGACAACTATCGGGCCGGGCCAGACCAGCCCACTATGAAATATGCAAAGCCCAGGCCCTGCCCATGGGCCAAACTATTTCGGGCTTTCAAGACGGGCCTATATGGCCCTTGTCTGTATATATATATATATATATAGCATTATTAAGACACAATTCCAATCCGAGAACAATAATAAATCTTCAAATCAATATAATATTTAGAGACTATAAATGCAAATAAAGGCATTTACCAAAAATCTCAACTAAGATTTATGCTAAAATCCAATAATCCAAATGAGGATTTTGGCAATCTAGCAAGAACTTCAAATGGAAGGCCCATATACAAATGACCGACCCTGCCAAGCTATTTATAAAGGAAAAAACAATTGTGTTGATGTGTGAAGTCGATGTGGGACAGAAATAGACACCCACCCCCACTTACTCTTTCTTTTTCTTCCTTCCCAGCCTCCTCCACTTTATCTTTCTTCCTTCCCCTCCGATTTGAACTTTGAAACACATCACAATATTGAGGAGATAGTTGAACCCTCTGAACCTAAAGCCAAAGAGTTCAAGCCTTGTGATGTTAAGTATGCTGATTATACTCCTTGTCAAGAGCAAGACCGAGCAATGAACTGGGTGCAGTTTCAGGGAAATGTTTTCAAATTTCCAGGTGGAGGAACTTTGTACATTCATTGCTTCACATTGCCATTCTGTCATCTGCATTTAATTTGAGCGTCTTAACTTCCTTTAGTCAATCCAAGACTATGAGTACAACAATGGCTTTTCAGTCTCCAGAGAATGTTAGGTAGATTTGCTTGTGCGTATAGTGAATGCAAATGCACATTCAATGATACTGTGTTATATATATGTAGCTAAATCATGTATTTATGTGAGCAGTGAGCTATCCTAGTATACATGTTCACACACAGTCAGTTCTTTCATTCATATGTGGTTCTTTACTAATGAGACCAACCATGGTACAGGTTGCAAGTTGGGGTGCATACTTGCTAAAGAGAAATGTATTAGCCATGTCCTTTGCACCACAGATAAAATAGACGGTTTGGATTAGTGAAATACAAAGCGGAGTAGGCCCTACAAATGTGTCCCTCAAATAAGTTTATTTGAGAGATCCTACAAAGGAAGTGCTCTGTATATATATATATATATAAAATAAAGTGTCCTCATTTTTTTAAATAAATTTTTTAATATAAATAATTCGTTAATTTACTATATTATTCTTATTAATGAATGATTTTATTTTTAATATTTCATTAATTTTTTTTGTTTTGAATAATGAAAGTTTCACCTTTTAACGCCTTCAACTTTTTAGGCAGTGACAAGGAATTGAGAGAGAAGCGTAGCTCTGCAGCGGTCTGCAGTTTAGCAATAACAATACAATGGCCGTTTAAATTGTGTTAGGACTTTGCAAAAGCTCTTAAACCCTTTCCCTCTCTTGGACAGCCATGGCCACCGACCAAAACATGAGCAGCTGGACCGATCTGCTCCACTCCTCCACCAAGCTTCTCGAACAAGCCGCTCCTTCCGCGCAGTTCCCTCCTCTACAGGTTCAGCTCATCTCTCTTTACTTTCTTTCCGTTTGGTTCTCGAGAAAACGAAGGAAATTTGACATCTTCCCGAAAAACTTCTAGTGTTAGGGTTTCACTGACATTTGAGAAAGAATTTTATCAACTTAGGCATAGTCTAATTCACCATTTAGGTTTTTGTTATCTTTCTGTAATCGCTGTGTTTGCTTTAGTTTTCCAAGAAAATTCGGGAAAAGCAAATAAAAGTTTCATTTCTAGTGTTTGATTTTCGTCATTGTGAGTTCTTAGAAATCAATAGGCAAGCTCACATTAGCTGCACTCTCGCTAACAATGTGTGTGGTTGCTAAAAGAATGAAGGATAAAGGAAAAGTTAGACATCTGAATGTTGGATGATTCATTACCCAGATTTTTGGACACATTATTCTGCACCCTGAGGGTCCACCGCTGAAGCAATTAGATGCCATTTGATTAAGAAGAATACAAAATCAAGTCCTAATATTAGTCTTTAGGTTCATATAATATTATTGCTGTTCCGCTGACTGTAATGCACATATTTTGGTGTGTTTCTTCGCTTTCCACTGATATGCTCTGCTGGGTTGCTGAAAAGATGTTTAGATAAGATTTTGAATCAAAACCCTAGACTTGTACCTTTTCCTTTTGTATTTGGAATTTTTTGACTGGTGGTGTCTAGTTGAGACAAAAAGGAGGTCAACTGCAGAAATTTAATTTTTCCGGTTATATATTATGAGACCAAAAAGAGATAAACTTTTCTATGGATACAGGTATCTAGTTTTCAGGACTCTGAATTCATATTTCTATATGTTTCAGAGAAATTTGGATCAGTTAGAAACATTATCGAAGAAACTCAAGGCGAAAACTCTACGAACTGAGACTCCTCAACAATCCATTGCTGCCACGAGGTATTTGAATTATTACTGTCTCAAAAGATATTTTATTGCTCAAATTCACTTTACTTCATGTTAATAAAGTTCTTTTCCTAAAACAAGTCACTTTAATTCAGTCTACTCACTCTTGAAACATAAGAAAGTGAATTGAAGCATGGATTTGCAGATAAGTTTGAGGGTATATATCAAGTTCTGTTCTGCGTTCTATGTCGTGTGCTTAACCTTTTAGATGGTACGTCTGTTCAACTATATCCTGTTCATATTTTACAGGCTTCTTGCACGTGAGGGACTAAATGCGGAGCAGCTTGCACGTGACCTTAAGTCCTTTGAATTGAAGGTAATTATACTTATAAATTGTACTGTGTATAATCTGCCTCCTTGGCATCATTAACCATGCCAAAAAATTTGATGAGTCAATTTGGATACTTCATATTAAAATTTTGTGTGCTTCACGAACAATGTAAAAGTAAAATTAATATTTATACGAATCTCCTTAGGCAAGTGAAATGCGACTATTCTTTAATTCCAAAATTTTATTTGTAAGTCATGTTTCTCTTTATTCTCAGTTCAGCTCAATCAAGGAACCATTAGTTCAAATTTTAACTGTACTTGCTTTGAGTTATTTTCTTAGGTCAATGGCTGCGTTATGTCTCCTGTTACCTATTCCCTTCTTTTGCTGGGCTTAGACATCTAGAGAACAATTGTGTCATAATCTTCTAGTTTCAGAAATGCTTTTACCCATTCTTGACCTTCTTATACTAATTAGTTTGGTGATTTTCCCTTTTCTTTCATCATTAAAAGACAACATTTGAGGATGTTTTTCCGTCTGAAGCAACAACTGTCGAAGAGTATCTGCAGCAGGTAGATTTAACTCTATTCACGAATGATCTGATTAGTTTAGTATATGTTCTTTTCATTACTTTAACATTCGAAACTCTTGCTAAAACATGATTTTATTTGATTGTTGGCTTTAAATTGTGTGGAATAACATGATGGAACTAATGAATTAGCCATTAGAAACTATGTATTTATTTTGAAAGAATTTTTGTTGTTGAAAATTTGGCTATTAATATAGGTATTACAAGATGCAACTCCTACATATCTTATAATGCTTGTTGCCAGTTGATTGTTCTTTTTCTTCCTTGCATGTTGACATCAATGTGACATATTGGTTAATTGTTCAATGATATTCCCCTGATACCAGCATTTTTATCCTTGCTTGTAATGATTGAATGACATCTCGGTTGATTACTTCTGCTTCATGTGTAATTACGTATCTTTCACTGTTCACCGGCAATGGAAACTATTAAGAGAACAATCATAAGTAGTCTTGCTTTCATTGTTTTTATTTTTTCTTTTGTGGGTGATGCAAAATTATGCAAGGTTTTACTTCCATGTGGTTTTATGCTCTCAACATTATCTAATTATATTTCTCCCTCCAAAGTCAAAACTACATCTACATTTGTCTTTATTTACTCTCCAATAAAAGATGCATCTATTTGTTTTTTTTTTTTTCCGAATATTTGTCTTCAAGGCGTCTCACGGATGATTACATGTTAAAAGTTTTGGAGGTTAGTGTACCCCAATGGATACCAATATCACTGGATTTTCCCTTGTTTAAGTTTTGACTATTCTTTTTATGTTTGGCCATTTTCATCCAATGGAATTGTTAAGATTCCGTTATTCTGTTGTTTTTTTTTGTTATTGTTGGATGAAATAATGAATGATTGCGAGCTGCAGTATCAAGGATTAATTCTGTGCCAGGAAAAATAAAATGCTACTGCCTCCTTGGCATCATTAACCATGCCAAAAAATTTGATGAGTCAATTTGGATACTTCATATTAAAATTTTGTGTGTTTCACGAACAATGTCAAAGTAAAATTAATATTTAGACGAATCTCCTTAGACAAGTGAAATGCGACTATTCTTTAATTCCAAAATTTTATTTGTAAGTCATGTTTCTCTTTATTCTCAGTTCAGCTCAATCAAGGAACCATTAGTTCAAATTTTAACTGTACTTGCTTTGAGTTATTTTCTTAGGTCAATGGCTGCGTTATGTCTCCTGTTACCTATTCCCTTCTTTTGCTGGGCTTAGACATCTAGAGAACAATTGTGTCATAATCTTCTAGTTTCAGAAATGCTTTTACCCATTCTTGACCTTCTTATACTAATTAGTTTGGTGATTTTCCCTTTTCTTTCATCATTAAAAGACAACATTTGAGGATGTTTTTCCGTCTGAAGCAACAACTGTCGAAGAGTATCTGCAGCAGGTAGATTTAACTCTATTCACGAATGATCTGATTAGTTTAGTATATGTTCTTTTCATTACTTTAACATTCGAAACTCTTGCTAAAACATGATTTTATTTGATTGTTGGCTTTAAATTGTGTGGAATAACATGATGGAACTAATGAATTAGCCATTAGAAACTATGTATTTATTTTGAAAGAATTTTTGTTGTTGAAAATTTGGCTATTAATATAGGTATTACAAGATGCAACTCCTACATATCTTATAATGCTTGTTGCCAGTTGATTGTTCTTTTTCTTCCTTGCATGTTGACATCAATGTGACATATTGGTTAATTGTTCAATGATATTCCCCTGATACCAGCATTTTTATCCTTGCTTGTAATGATTGAATGACATCTCGGTTGATTACTTCTGCTTCATGTGTAATTACGTATCTTTCACTGTTCACCGGCAATGGAAACTATTAAGAGAACAATCATAAGTAGTCTTGCTTTCATTGTTTTTATTTTTTCTTTTGTGGGTGATGCAAAATTATGCAAGGTTTTACTTCCATGTGGTTTTATGCTCTCAACATTATCTAATTATATTTCTCCCTCCAAAGTCAAAACTACATCTACATTTGTCTTTATTTACTCTCCAATAAAAGATGCATCTATTTGTTTTTTTTTTTTTCCGAATATTTGTCTTCAAGGCGTCTCACGGATGAATGATTGCGAGCTGCAGTATCAAGGATTAATTCTGTGCCAGGAAAAATAAAATGCTACTTAGAGAAGGAAAAAATAATTGACATGAAAGTGTTTTAAATCAGTGAGATGCTTATTTTTGCTCATTGGTCAATGTTGGTTATCAGCGGAATTTGATATTTTGCAGGAGGATTGGCAGAAAGAAAAACGTGATTTCCTTCAAAGTCTAAGTCAGATTTCAACATTACCCAGGACTAACATGACTTATACTAGCAGCGCTGGTAGTCGTTCTGGTCAAATAGCGTCCATAACTTCTAGCCCTCAAGTTTCATCTACTCCATCTAGTATGGAGCTTGTACCTTTAGCTAGCAAGCCCATCCTTGAGAAGAAAACATCTGTCTATGCAGAAGTTGTTAAAAATCTGAATAATGCAAGGCAGCGTGGATTACCGTTTAAAGTAAGTTTTCTTTTTTAATGTATAATTCTTTTAGGCTTCAAATTCTTACTCTATCTGTCTATCATATTGTGAGGAATCTGAGATTACAAGATTGAGTGTATTTGAATTAACAAATTACAATGAACCTCAACATGCTGTCAATGTGGCAGTTCTTGTGAGTCCAACTTGAGTGCTTCATGATACTGTCCTTTCAGTTTGGTGGCCTTGGCCTTTTACAATTTTATTTTATTTTATTTGCAATAACCGAAACTATGTATTTATTTTGAAAGAATTTTTGTTGTTGAAAATTTGGCTATTAATATAGGTATTACAAGATGCAACTCCTACATATCTTATAATGCTTGTTGCCAGTTGATTGTTCTTTTTCTTCCTTGCATGTTGACATCAATGTGACATATTGGTTAATTGTTCAATGATATTCCCCTGATACCAGCATTTTTATCCTTGCTTGTAATGATTGAATGACATCTAGGTTAATTACTTCTGCTTCATGTGTAATTACGTATCTTTCACTGATCACAGGCAATGGAAACTATTAAGAGAACGATCATAAGTAGTCTTGCTTTCGTTGTTTTTATTTTTTCTTCTGTGGGTGATGCAAAATTATGCAAGGTTTTACTTCCATGTGGTTTTATGCTCTCAACATTATCTAATTATATTTCTCCCTCCAAAGTCAAAACTACATCTACATTTGTCTTTATTTACTCTCCAATAAAAGATGCATCTATTTGTTTTTTTTTTTTTCCGAATATTTGTCTTCAAGGCGTCTCACGG